TCTGTGGATCACCTTGTTAGAGACCCACCTGGGAGGGTGGGAGGGCTTACTCTGGTTGCTATTTTACAGATGAGAAAACTGCAGGCCAAAAAGGTTACTCCATATACTAGGGTCAGACCCAAAAACAGGTCTGCTCCCAAGTTCCAGGGGACCTCTGAAGCTGTCCATGTGGCCTAAAGTATGAGTATGCCTGCTGTTTTGTATTACTGGGCTAAAGTTATATGTGGACCCATCATATAAGACAACTGGACTATTTTTATTCCTAGTGAAGACAGCATCTATGTTGCTTGCCCTCAATCAACAGCAGCTATTTATAGGACCTCCTATCCCTGAAGGAAGTGGCATTCCATGGTTAGATGCCTGGCCTGCAAGTTGAGAGCCATGGTCACTCTCAAGCCACTAACCATTTCCCTTCTTAGCCAGTTTCTCAGCCTTGTTTCCTCATTCTGGAAATATTTTATTGTCTACCTATTACATGCAAGGCACTCTGTCAGGTGCTGGGCCCACACGAAAGAATAAATTATTGTAGTGCAGTGAGATTTATGTATAGAGTATAGGTCCAGAATCCATTGTCTGAAATCCCTGGGGCCAGATGTAGTTTTCAAGTCAGAAATATTTGGATTTTTAGAAAGTTAATATGCATCTATTATATATTCTTTAATAATTGCAGTGGAGTCTGGGCAGCACCCCTTAATCAAACCCACTATTATTTCCACATCAGAATATGAATATTCACACTGAGTAGGAAAGTAAAGACTGAAAATAGTTTCACATCAGTTCAGGTCATCTTTTGCCACTAATTGCACTTGCTGCAAACTTACGAAAACACTTGAAATTTTCAGAGCTTATTGGCTTTTGAAATTGCACATGAAGAACTGTAGCTCTTGTCTTGGGAGGTTAGCCCTGTTTGGGGACCAGGGGAGGAGTCCTGGAAGAGATGATGTTCAAGTTCAGAACTGAAGAAGGAGTAAGCAGGTGAATAGTTAGTTTTTGCCTTCCTTTTTGGGATATATTATCATTACATCTACAACGTGTTTTAAAATCCCAGTTGAAAGGCTCTTCCCTTCATTACTGTGATGGAAGGGGCTATAAGGTGAACTGATAAGGGTTGGTTCTTGTGTCACACCTGGATTTAAATCCCTAGCTCCACTTTGAATGGACGACACGTACTTGACCTGAGTCCATGCCCTCATCTGTAAAATGGGAATAACGCCTGCCTCCGTTGAGGTATTATGAAGAAAAAGTAGTGCCCAGTCTGTTGCCTGGCATCATAGTAGGCAATCAGTAAATAGTGAGTGCTACTGGTGGTGTTAAGACTTTGATATAAGCCACACATACCCAGGCCAGATGTCCTTGCCTCACCACCCTGGCCCATGATGCTCCCTTTCCTAAAGGCCCTGATCCAGCTACTAATTCTTTCTGGCCTTTGAATATAGTTATGTCTTCCATTGATGTGAGATCCTTAAGCATAGAGACCTCATTAGTTTTGTTCCTTTGCATCAAGCAGTGCTCCACATAAATGAAAGTTACCCTTAAGTCCTTGGTGATAAAATACTTCCTGCAGGCTCTGAGCTACCCTAATGAACCAGCTATTGATCCAGGTTTATGGTCCCTCAGACAGTAAGAACTATCTTCTTGTTAAAGCAAATCTGCAGCATTGGACTTTCCTCTCTAACATTTTAATGATTAAAAAGTTGTCTGAGCCCTTTGTTGTATTTATTTTGGGGGTAGTTGGTGAGAAGCCTTCATGTTTGCCCTCTTTTCCCCTCCCTGGCTTGCACTGTCAAGCTCTGCTGACTAACAGAATACTCCAAGTATGGTTCTCCTGGGAAATACCATAAGCCTGCACATGTAGAATCCTTCTCCTTCCCACCTTCCCCCATCCCACACCCATCCTCCCCCAACAACTAGTCTTTCCAGGTGTAGAACCCTAACCTATTTAGCGCTTTGTCTTTTTTTCTGAGTGATCTTAGGTACGTCACTTAACTACTCTGTAAAAATGAATGAGCAATTTTTTGTTACATATATTTTACCACAATAAAAAAGATAAATTAACGGTTTCTAAAGTTTATGCTATATCTCCCGATCTACGGTAGATATGTGCAGATGTTTATGAGGCATTTTTCAATGTCAGCTGGTACAAGCTCTGAACTCTGTTTCTGATTTGCTTTTTAAATCAAGATGAACTTATATTGATTTCACTTGTTAGAAATCATTCAGTGTTACTATGTCAAACTCATAAACATTTTTCTGTTAGAGGCAATGGTTTGTTCATATCAGCTAACATGTCAACCAATTCCTTTTTCTGTGTCTATGAAAGAGAATTTTTTCCATTAGTCATTTGCCAAGTATACTTGCTGCTAAATATTATTTGAATCTTCAAGCAAAGAAGGAAAGAGCTATGTTTATTAAAAAGGTCCTTATGCAGGTTTGATTTTATATGTTGAGAGAATATAAATATGTACTCTAGGAAGTATCTTCAAATATTTGTTGACTTAAAAAAAAAGAAATTCTTAGATTTATTTTGGCCCAGGTAAGAAATACTAACTTTGTACATTTCTTCAATTCAGCTCTGTTTGAAGGCTCATTTGTAAAAGTGTTCAGTACAAAGTGGTGATAAGAGAACATGGATCAGAAAGAAAAATAATGATCAAGGCAGTGTTCCCTGTAACTTGATTATTTGGTATAAAAAGCAGATAATTAAGAGACCAAGACAGTAACTAAATAATGCTATCTAGCCGCAATGGAATTTAAAATGAGAAGAATGGAATGACTAAAACATGGAGTAATGGAAAAATAGTAATAATTTTAAAAAGATATAATTAAATACTGGAAAGTAATAACATGGCAGAAGAATGGGAGGAGACTGGAGTTAAAGCATTCTAAGGCCCTTATCACATTAAGGAGGAACATAGAGGTATTATATATTTTAAGTAAGGAGTTCACATTTAAGCATTAGCATTAAAGTAGTATAAGTGGAATATATAACTTTCTGAAAAATATATATCTTTATTGATTTCAGAGAGAGGAACGGAGAGGGGGAGAGAGAGCTGAAATATCAATGATGACAAAGTCGTCATTGACTGGCTGCTTCCTGCCTGCCCCCAACTGGGGATGGAGCCCGCAACCCCGGCATGTGCCCTGACCGGGAACCAAACTGCGATCTCCTGGATCCTAGGTTAGTGCTCAACTGCTGAGCCACCCTGGCTCGGCAAATATATAACTTTTAAAACAATGGAGGAACAAAGAAAATTTGATAACTCCACGAGAAGGAAGGAAAAAATGCTCAGGGAGAATAGGAAGTAAAAAAAAACAGACATAGTAAACGTAAAGGACAAAAGAAGAGTGCAAATAAGTCCAACTATATTACTAATCACAATAAATGTAAATTTTTAGATTAGCCAGAAAATAGAAATTATTTTTTAAAAATTTTGAAGATACATGTGGTTTATAAGAGACAAAACCTAAGACAAAGGATACTGAAAGGTTGAAAGTAATTTAGTGGGACAAGATACTAGGCAAATGCTAACCAAAAAGAAGTTGTTGTAATTATACCAATATCAAACAGTAGATTTTGAAATTTTTAAAATATATATTATTAGGGATAAAAATGTTAATACTAAATGATAAAGGAATAATTCACCAAGAAAATAAAGCAATTTTAAACCCACAGAATACTAACAACATAGATTCAAAATATATAAAGCAAAACTTGACCTAATTATAGAAGTTAAATCCATAATCATAGTGGAAGTTTTTAAACTTCCCTCTCTCAGATACTAATAGATCAAGCAGAGAAATATTAGGACATAGAAAATTTGAGCACCATAAGAAACAAACTTGATCAAGTGTGCATACACAGGATTCTGTGCTCCACCAATAGAAAATACTAATTTTTCAACCTTGCAAAGTATATTTTTTAAAAATTGATGACAAATTGTTGTATAAAGAAAGTATCAAATATAGTGAAAAATCAACTTCATGCATACCACTTTTTTTTTTTTTGCCAAAATGCAAGAAAATTAGAGAGCAATAATAAACAATTGCTAAAGCTCTCCCAAGTATGTCTGGAATCTTACTAAGCCCATTTCTAAATATATCTAAATAGGTCATGGATATACATGTCATGAATATATACATGTTTCATGGATCTAAGAAGAAATTAAAAT